GTATATATATATACCACTGGTCTTATGGAAAATTCCATTTCAACAGTGGGCACTTTAGGAGCCAGAGCAACCAGGTTTAATACTTACTCCTGACTCAATGTAGGTTTAGGGAAGTATGTATACCCTGTGAGGCAACACCAGCCACTGACTGGGTTCTGAGAAGTGAATTGGAGTACATTATAAACAAGTAAGAAAATAAAAAAAAGAGGCATTTACCCATTAAAGATGGTAAGTAGACTTGAGAATGGTGATATCTTGAGGGAGACAAAATTACCAGATGGTAGAGATAATTTGAAACAAAGGCATTGGGTGTAGTTCACATTCCAGACTGGAGGATCTCATCCAAGGTTTATTGGAACTGTATGGCCAGAGAGTAAGTCAAGTGGCAGAGTTTATATGATGAAGTGTGATACTGCCTGCGAGCATCTCCATCGGGGAAAGAATAGACAAGATATCCCTGGAAGAAGAGGGGTCCTATGGCAAGAATAAACAATTGCAGGATTGCTGAAACGAATCTGTGCATGTCGAGAAATACCTGCCCACCCAAACTGGCCACAAAAGACAATCAGGGTCAGTTTGATCATAAAGGGCAGAGATCAACAGAAAAGGTATGATTTTCCTTCAGAGCCACTCAAGTCTTAAGAAGAAACAAGTAACCAGAGAGTAAGATCAAAGAAGATCTGTCAATCAATGTATGGGAAGCATACAATGCATAAAGATCAGATCTGCAATGAGCATGAAGGAGAATGAAATAGGTTTTAAAAGAAATGGTATAAGAAGCAAGTGACCAATGATTCAGATGAAAATTGGGTAAGAACATGTAGAACCACCTTAAGGTTTCAGCCAGGTAAAGGAACTGGAAGAGGAAGACAATGAATTAAAAAAGCATGGTGATAAAAGTGAAAAATAGTTGACAAAGCTGCCTGATAGCCTGTGATGATGGAAACCAATAATCCTTGGTTAAACAACCAGGTAAAAAAACCCAAAAGGTGGGCAACAGTAAAATGGCCTGGCAGTAGAGAGCAGAAGATGGACCAGCAGCAAAAAATGCCACTTTTGTTGATAGACAGAGAGAGTAAAAGAGCAACACAAAGAGAGTAATAGAAGGGCTACATTGTCAGAGAAAGCTGACTAGACAAAGGAACAACACTCCCAGGTGAAAGAGACATATGAAGTTGGAGCAAGAGTGACTAAGATAGAAGCAGAGGAAGAGGTGCACTGGATGCAAGTGGCAAATAAGAGGAAAATTAAGATTGAGCCAGTTAAAAAGGTGCTACAAACAGGACCTGACAAAGAGAAGGGTGCACATAGAGAGAGATGTGGCCAGTCCTAGCTGAGGACACCTACAGCCAGAGATGCTGGATAAGATAGCAGGAACCAGAAGGGGGGTACTGAGAGAAATAGCAAAGGTATTGATCATTGGCTTGCCCAACTGGGAACAAATTCAAAACATACTCGAGGATGGAATGATAACTAAGTAGGAAGAATCCTGTTCGAGTGAGAGAGCCAATCTGCCACTAACTTCTAAGATCCTGAGACATGACAAGTTGTCAGAAAAACCTGACATGAATAGGCTTAAAACAAAAAATCCAATGTGAGGAAGCAAAGATCCTTAGAGCGTGTCCTACCCTAATGATTGATATGGGAAACAGTCATAGAATTGCCAGTGGATCATTACCAAAAAATCAGCTAAAAGTTCGAGAACATTGACATGGAAGAAACACTCCACAGGAAACCAAACCCCTCACGCTGTAGACTTCTCAAGAAACACGTCCCAACCTGAAGAGATGAAGTAGTGAAGAGATAAAAATCTGAATGAGGGCAACATAATCCAACCACCATGACAGATCCTTGAGAAGAGAAGATGGTAGCCTCACAAGAGAGGACAGAGAATCTCAAAAGATTTTCCATTGGTTGCTCAAAGTCCATTGAAGAAGTCTCATGTAAGCCCAGCCTAGAGGAACAAGATGTTCCAGAGATGCAAGAGTCCCCAAAAGAGACAGAACCCATTGTATTGGAAGTTCAGAAGAGGCAAGATAAGAGGCTATCAGATCCTCTCTTTTCCACAAATGAATAGGGGGAAGGTTGAGCTCATCTGAGTAGAGAATTGAAAAAGACTTCAAGGAGGACCAAGTATTGAGTCAGAGTGAGGAATGACTTGGAAAAACTTGACCAGCCAATCCAGACAATATTTCTCTTGGAGAAGCAATGTCACCAAGAAGGAGGACTTCTGCAATGAGGAGTCAGGCATTCATGTAATAATGGAAATAAAGTCTAAGACTGTGGACATGGCAAGCAGATGCTCCTATGATATGATTGAAAACATAAGGACCCAATATGATGCCAAAGGGAAAAGCTTGAAATTTGTATTCCTGATCCCAATGAATAAAACAAAAGAAATGATGTGAGGAAAGGGCAATATGGAGAAAAGCATCCAAGATATCAGCCTTGGTCATCTATGGTCTGGGGAAAAGGGTCAATGGAAAAGAAACCCATCCATTTTGAACCAAGAAACCAACAAATAATGATTAAGAGAAGTCAATAGCAGTCAATAACAGGATGCCAGTCCCCAGTCTTTTTGGGGAAAACAAAAGTACAAGAATAAAACTTTAGACAGAAGCAAATGACCCTCTTGATGGCTTTTCTTAGAAGATCCGATAATGTAGTCTCAAGACCCTGAAGATCAGAAGGAAGAAAAGGAGCAGGAAAAAAGAACAGTGGAGGAAGAAACGAAATGTGAAGAGAAAGGCTGTGTGTAAGAGTCTGAATGATCCAATGGTCAGCTACAAAAGGGTCCAAAGGTCTACAAAAAAAACAAAAGCAGATGGGCCCTACAGGGCCTGAGCTGACTGGGTACAAAGGGAGGGAGTCACAGATGGGATGGGTGATGGCCAACCCAATGGGAGGGGAATGGTGAGAAACAGAAAAGGGATGAGAAATGGAAAAAGAAGTGGAGGGTTCATCAGGTTGAGAATGAAAGTGAATTTACAAGGTTGTGAGAGATAAGAAACCAAAAAAATAAAAGTGAGGAATGGTGTCAGGAAGCCTTGGCCCGAGTTTCCAAGGTGTCAGGAATATCCCTGAAGACTTCAGCATGAAGAAAAGGAGCCAGATGGAGATCATAGAGATAAGAATGGGGAAGATGAAGGGAAGACAGAGAGAGAGCATCACATTCCAGAACGTCAAAACAATAGTGGAACCAAATAAGCAGAGACAAAGCAGAAGACAAAACCCTGGCCAAGGTATTGAAAAACATGTAGGGTGTAGAGCTTCAGATAGGAGGAAAAGAGTGGATAAGTAATGAAGGAAATGGGTAAGAAAAAGGTGGAGAAGAGAAAATTAAGTACCAGAGAGTGTTACTGGAGTTTGGGGGTCAGCCCATCAAGTGGGTAGTAAAGACTCCTGGGATTGGGAATCCAAGAATGGAAAAAAGGAAAGAGCTATAAGCCATGACAAAATAATCCTGGGATAAGGAGGAAGAGGCATTTGAGAGTGAGAATGAAACTGATCCAGAAACATGTCAGCATGGACATATGTCTGGAGAAAGAGGAAAAATCAAATAATCCTCAGCATAAAAATTATGTAGAAAGGAAAGGGAAGAATAAAAGAACATAGGAGAATGGGAAAGTAAAGAACAAACTTGAGAAATCAAATTCATAAATAGATTTGGGGGAAAAACATTGTCCTCAACACGTAAAGAAGAAACTAGTGCAAACCTGGGAGGTGAAAAAAACTAATCAAACATTATCCTCATAGTCAGGTTCAAAAAGAGGAGAACACACTTCAGATGCAGAGACAAGGTTATGAGGCAAGGAAGGCATCAAAGAACCCATGATACAAGGAACTAATGTGATACCATCTTCAACAGTCAAAGTAAAGCAGTGTTAACAACATTGCCAGAACCTTGGGAGGTGGTAGTGGTCATTATCACTTGAGAATTAATGGTTGTTTTAGCAATTCTCCAGATCAAAAATTTTTTAGTAAGTTATTTATTGGTGATGTAGCTTTAAATTGATGTTACAACACACTAAAAGGAAACCAATATTGTGAATTTTGTGAAATTGATTAAGTCTGGACTTAAAGAAACATGTCTGTTATTAAAGACAGTGCAGAGGATTAAAATGAAGTTAATTTTGAATGCAAGTGTTTATGGGGACCTACTATGCTTGGAGGATGTGCAATCTTCTTAATGATAGAGGGCTATTGTTGCAAGATGATTACATCATGCATTAGTGCAGTTCTTAGGTGAAAAAAAACTCAAAGCTAATGGCATGCACAAAATCTTAGAGGCAGGTGTGCAAGAAATAGCTACTGCATGAGAAGAGGTAAGTCTATCATTTCAGAAGATAAATATTATTAATATATAAGATCCCAGATGAATGTTTTATAAAACGGGCATGAACTGATGTTCTTTATTCAAGCCCCAATCAGGAAAACAGCCTGCTTTTTAAAAACAAAAATTCAGATTATTACAACTGATAACCTTATAGTATGACATACTATAAACCTTCTGAAAGTTTTTAAATGTGCTATGATTAAAAGAATAAATAACTAAATAAAATGATGTTCTCTTCCGTGATATGACTAGTGAGTTGTGTGTTGATAAACTCGCTCGGATCATCACTGGTGCTGGGGATTGGTGTACATGGAAAAGTTTCTTAAAATCAGTGATAGGAATATCTAAAGACTCAGTCAGGGCAGCTTACTTACTTTTCAATTATTGTTACATAACTTCTTGACTATCTGAAATTATCTGGGTTAAGCATATGTTAGATAACTGCAGTGATGACTTGAAGCATATATAAGTTAAAATGAATGTTACTGACATTTAAGTAAAACATCAAAAGAGACAAGTTTGCAATATAAATGTTCCACTGATTATGTTAAATACCACATTAGATGGCAGAAATTATTACAAAATAATTCATAATACACTTGTCATTCACGTATTTAGTATACATAATGAAACTGATACAACTAATAAATAATAATGAACAGTTTGAAAGACTTACATTCTGAGTTTTCTGGTTCTTTCTCTTTCCTGAAGACTTTTTATGGCTGTCTTTGTTTTCTTTATGATAGTGAGTTTCAGAGTCTAGAACCAAACATTTCTTAATGGCTTTAAGAGAAGAGTGGCTGTAGCTTTTTCTTGGCTTCTTTGATTCCCCAAAATGCACAACAGGAGACAAGGAAGTATCTATTTGCTCAATATTAGAATTGGAAGGAAACTTTATACTTGTGTAGTTTTGAGATGCCACAGGAGACAAGTCTGGAGGTGTTTCAAACAGAGAGACAAGTCCATAGTCCTCAGTTGTGGACAATAAATTAGACTCCTTATCTTCAGTGCTAAATAAAAAAGGTTCTTCAGTACTGCCCAATGGTCTAACTGGTGAAGAGGTTCCATTCTTAGGAACAGCAGGGTTTGGTGTAGAGGTGTAACATTGGATGGTTGTACAAAGTCTTTCAGAGTCATCATGAGAAATACTTAATGTTGTGCGTGTCTTGCATTTGGTTCTGTGCTTTGTCTTATTGGGTTTGAGATCAGAGTTTTGGTTTGTGCTGTTTAGAGATGAAAGTAAAATACCACTGTCGATTGCAGAATGAGAAGAGGTTTGTTTTTTTTCTTTTGATCCACATGTGATTCTAAGTCTTTTTTTCTCCCACTTGGATTCATTCTCTTTGTTTACCGAAGAAGACTGTGATCTGTTCTCATTGTTACAAGAAGTCAAACACAGTGCACTGGACCCCTCTTGGTGGAAATCAGATAATAAACTGTCACTCCTAGAATTACTTACAGTATTTTCTTTTGGTCTTTTCTGCTTACTTTTCTTCTTGAAAGCCCTGCTTTTAGGAGTTTTGAAAACCATAGAAGAATTTTTCACTGTTGTGATTAAGTTATCAGTCCTTCTCAGTGACCTTCTACACTTATTTCTGGTTACTGCAACCATTTTGAGACTATACACTTCCAGAAAATCACATTTGACAAAATGAGTTTCTTCGCATTTAAAATACCTAGAAAAAGAAAGTTACACTTTAGAATAAAAGTGTTGTACTTACACATGTAAATTATAGCTGTTGGAACTATTATACTTATAATTAAAAAAAGGACCTGTTTTGAAATATATGAAAAAAGAAAAGACTGGCATGAGCATAGAATCACATCAAGTATACTTTTTGTTGTGTGTGTATATATATATATATACATATAAATAAAAGTTTGTTCTAAGTTATAAATACTACATCTGCTTGACAATTATGTGATATTTCTGAAACACAAGCTACATTTCTTAAATTGTAGAATATTCAATGTATTAAAAAAACATTTTCCAGTATAAAACTTATCTAAAGTCTTACAAATCCCAGTTATGATGAATAAAAGATAGTCTACTGTCTTACAAACAGTGATACAGCATAATTAAAAGCACAAAATGTTTTATTTAAGAAAATATTCATCTCTCTATTGAAAACTTCTGAACTTTTTTTATTCACAAACAATGGCACATGAGATTCTGGTTGAGTAACCCCTTCCAAAAAACAGTATCACAGAACCTTGTGAAATTTGGTATCAATAGTATGTTTATCCAGAGAACTCAAACTATACAGAAAAATTCAATAACCATGCAAAAGCCTTTAATAATTTCTGAGCAAGATGAGAAGATGCTTGATTACTAAAAGGGATTGAAAAAGATCAAGGAAACTGAGCCTGTTGTTTGGACAGATTTTGACTGGACTCCATTATGCAACAACCACGTGCTTTCTCTCACCCAATGACCCTACAATCCAATTATCTAGTCTTTCCCTAACCCTTATTGATGTGATTTTATAAACCAAACAACAAGTCTGCTATATCCACTGCCATTGAGGTCTTTCATCTAATACCAGAGTTCTTCAAACTAGCTGGGATATGAAAAACATAGTAGTGATTGAGACACTATTGATATTAGTAACTGGCTTTACAAAACCAGTTAGATCATGAAGTGGATTAAGTCGAAGTGTTATTTTTCATCAACTTTATTTATATCACATCAGAATTAGATTAAGGATTTTTAACAAAATATCATTTATTTACTTTAATGCCAAACTGTTATTATTATTATTTATTTTACTTGAATTAATCAACTTATCATTCAGAAGAACTGGGAAACCAGCAAGTTAGCCTTCCTTATTCCAATACCAGGGTTTATCCTAAAAAAAATTTAACAGGTCAGTAAAAGATTTCCTTTCAGTGAATCCATGTTGGTTTTTACTTTTACCACCAAAGGTGGATAGAGGTTATGTTTTCACCCCTGTGTGTGCTTGTTTGTGTGTTTGTCAGCAAGATTTCTAGAAAATGGCCAAATGGATTTGGAAGAAAGTTGGTATATATTTGGACTATGACCCAACTTAGAAGTTATTAATTTTTGGAGGGTCAAGGTTACAGCAAAGTCGAAGAAAATTCAAAAATTCCATATCTGTTAACGTGGGAACCAATTTTTCACACTATGTTTGCTCAATAACTCAGTCAAAAATCATTGAGTTTTGACGAAACTTTGTGGGCACATATAGAATATTATTCCTCATTGTTCTGCCAAGCCAAAAATGGTCCATGTCCGTAGATAATGATGGACATGTATTATTTGAGAGCCAAATATGATCAACACTGTGTGGCGGAAGTATGTGCTCTACCGATTGTCCCTCCAATTTACTATTGTTTCACTTCTCTTGTCTGTGGCTGTATCGTCTTTTCACTTCAATATTTTACAGTCATTATCTAGAATATATTAAGTACTCCTGTTAATTCTCTACTGATATGTTTTATGTTTATTCAGTTGGTTTATTCATCTTATTCTCTGATGTTTAAGTTCACATATCTTCCTTTAATAAAAAACATAAGATTACAAAATGTGTTGTAGTTTACATTTGGATTATGACCCAATTTAGAAGCGATTAGTTTTTGGAGGATGAAAGATCAAGGTCATGAAAATCAAAAAATCCCTATCTGGTAACACGGACCAATTTTTCACACGTTTGCTCTAAAACTCAGTAAAAAATCATCAGATTTTCATGAAACTTGGAGGACATATGTATAATATTATTCATCATTGTCCTGCCAAAAACAGTCAGTGTCCATTGATAACAGACACATTTTCATATTTATTGAGAGCTGAATATGATCAACACTGTGTGGCAGAGGTACACACTCTACTGAGTGCCCCTCTAGTCTTTTATATCATATTTCACTAGATGATTTTGCAAAACTTATTTTATTGGACTCAATTTTTCCAACAATAAAAACAAGAGTAACTGGTTTATAATTTCCAGCCCAACTCTTATCACCTCTTTTAAAAATAATAGTAAAATAAGCAGGTGATATTGGCTTATCAGAAACTAGAGAGAATCCTGCATATCTGGTCTTTGATCTTTGTTAAAACCCTGGGGAAAACCTTGTCTAGCCATGGTTCCTTATTAAACTCTCAGTCTTTCTACTTACCACCAGTTCATCAACATGATTTAGGTCAATTCCAATAGTGCAACAGTCATGGTCAGAAATAATGCCAATATCTTTGCTTGTAACAATAGAAGAGAATAAAATGTTTAAAAGCTAACCATTTCATAGTCTTCAAAAACATCTTGCCACAAGCAACCTTTAAGGGTAAAATTCTCATTCTAACATTTTGTTTAATTTTAACATACCATATTGACCGAAATTAAAAAATGAGGTTTCTTTAAAAATAGAAGATTTAAAAAATACAACTCACCCTACATTCATGAACTATGCTCAGTCAAGATTGTTGTGAAATAGCACAAGTTCATATTCAGTTTAACCCTACATACACGTGCTTGCTTTAGCCCATAATTAAGAATGATTACTATAATTTTGAATATGTCTTCACAAAATTTGGCAATCAAATGGTTAATGTAAAAGGAAGGTTGACCCCAAACAAATCATTTTTAATACAGTATAATGAAAAGAATAGATGAAAAAACATGTAATAAATATATAATTCTTTCCATTTTCAGTATTGACCATGGAGTTACAATTGCTTATATTTAAACTTAAACCATTATTCTTTTATTAAGCACATTTTCTGTTCTTTCATATGGAGCAGTAACCCCCCCTCTCCCTAAACAATATCTGTAATAATGGTGAGTACAAAAAATGTATATTTTTCTCCATTCTTTGCTGAAATTGTCATATCTACTTTGTAGCACTAATTTATTAATGCTTAGGTCTATTGTACATTCTATAAAAAAATTAATTTCTCTTCTTTGAAAAGTAAGGTCACTAAATTCAGATCAATATAGTATTTAATTATATCATGCTGTTAGTTTAACATTATCACAGAGTTGTTTATCATAAGCTCTTTTGTATTTCCAAGTTTCTATAAATCTTTCAACCTGTCTGTCAATTTAAACTTAAGGCATATATTCCTGGTTTTTCTCTCTTCGTCTTTAGTAAGCAAATTAAATTTTATCTACCCTGTTATCATGAATGACCTATTAATCAAAAGAACTTTTAAAAATTTCCAAGTTTTTCCTACACCACCTTCTAAGTCATTGCCCCAATTGACTAGTGATAAATTTTTTTCTCATGGCCTCAAAGATGGCTTTCTGAAAATGATTTAAAACTTTAGTTCTTTTTATCTCAACATTTTACAAAAAAAAACTAATCATGCAATGGTCTCTCTCCCTAATGTTCCTACTTTATTCGCAATCATATCCTCGTTATTAATTACAATAAATCTAATACCAAGTCTTCTCAAATTGACTACCTCCCCATTTAGAAAACCACACTGATCCACTTCAAGGAATCTTTCTCCATCACTATTTGACTCCACAAAATCCCAATCAATATGCCTAAAATTAAAGTCTCCAATAATTATTGTATTAGTACTCCTATTACACATTCTTATTATATGTCCTCACAATACCATTTCTCATTTGCCACACCTGTCTGATCAGATGGCCTATGACAGTTGCAAATTAAAAGACTTCTACCCTTGAAATCCCTGATTGTAAGCCAAGCAGATTCAATCCTTTGACTACCATTTGTTTATGTCTTCAATACAAACAGACTGCAGTTCATCTTTTATAAAAAAAAAAGTCATCCCATCCCCCTCTGTTAAAAATTCTATCACTTTTAAGTAACTCATAACCTGGAATTTCAAATTAATTCTTCTTATCAATATTTTCCAAGTCTAATCAAGTTTCAGTAATTCCCATATTATATTATTCCACTTCAACTAGAGAGCCCTGAAATCATTCATTTTGTTCCCAATACTTCTAACATTAGAATAATAGTAAGAAAGCTTATTCTTGAATTTACTATGTTTATTTTTAAATCTCCTTTTATTTCCAAACTCCTCGTTGCCTTAGCTACTTTATCAATTTGTTTATTCCAAATCTCCCAAACATCTTATTGCTTAACCTATCTAAGTGGAGCCCATTTCTAGCATATAATTTACTCTTACCCTGAAAACTCTCCCACAGGTCCATCCAGCTGACCTGTTGCTCAAAACATATCCCTTACAATAGAGCTAGACAATAAATGATATTTGCTAACTGAGTAATAGATGGGCTCATTAATTGATTATATTTGTTTTCCTGTACAAAGAATCTTGGGTTCATTTCCCATTAACACTTAACAAAAATGCTTGCCTTGTCTTTCTTTTGGCATAGTTACTAAATAAACTGTTGGGCTAAACATCACGTGAATTCCGCTGTCATAACACTATATTCATGGATAAAATATGAAGTAGAAGAGAATATGTTTTATGCAAGGCTTGCATGAAATCTAATAATCAGAATGCTTTTACTACAGCCACTTGTGGGTTAATGATTGAGGACTTATTGTTTTATTTATAATGTAAACTTCTTATATTTATTCCTTGTATTTTTTGTTTTCATTAGTGATAATATCTGAACATTAAGGTTCATCAATAAACTTCACATTTGAGTCAGTGGTAAACTCTTAACATTAAGATCCTTTAGTGACTTTATGCCATTATGTTTGCTTGTTGTGAAACACAAAGCTACATAATGGGCTATCTGTATTCTGTCTGTTGTAGGTATTGAAACCCTATTTTAGCATTATAATTTGTTTTCACTTTAAGTTTGTTTGGCCTTGAGCCACCATGGTGATTCCAGTAACACGTAATGAGTATCTAGAACGTTCGTGAAGGCTCGAGTGTTTACTAGACACCCTCTATTTTGTATATATATATATATATACAAGACTGGCGAGAAGTGACAACACATAGATAATAGCAGACAGAGAAATTGAAGATATACACAGATAATTGAGTCAAGCCGTAATTAAAATGTGTAAATCATTGTGAATTATAGCGTGTCTTTAAGTTAAAGTACTGTGGAAATTAAGTGTATTGCAAAGTTGTATTGAGAAAGAATAAACTAGTTTTATTTAAGAAAGGACTTGTATCACTGAAGTTCTTCGGAAATAATTTTTATGAGTAATTAACAAACGCCCAGAGACGTAACAATATTTTGATTCATCCCCCTTGAATATGATAGTTGTTTTTATAGTACTTCTTGTCAACTTTTCTACAGACTGATCCAACATTTGAAAAGCTTTTATTGGTTTGCTTTGAATTACTTTTGTCAAAAGAATCACAAATATTTTGTTGTAGTAAATAATGATTTATTTTTTGAACATGTGAATAGGTTGCTTGATAAAGCTACTAGAATGATGCAAAGTTTATTTGAAGATTTCAAATGTTTCCTTGAGATTATTTCATTATAACCAGTTAACCAAAACTGGTAGAGTTCAAAAGAGAACGTTTATTAGTCAACTGATATTTACTGATTAGTCCAAGCAAGTTTTCTGTAGTTGTATAGGTACTTTGATCTATGCTTCAGGGAGACTGGTAATGGTTACAAAATTGCTGTAGAAATGAACTGGAATTTTGAGGAATTTCACATTTGCAAACAGTTTCATGCAAATAACCAGCATGATGCTGAATTGGCTAAAAAGGGAGACCTTGACAATCACTTGTTACAACTTAGTTTTCAATAAGAAAAATTTCAGTTTATATAGGTATCTGGAGTAAACTGTAGCCAAAACATAAAAAAACCTATGTTCTTGATTGGTTGTCCATGAATTTAATTTATACTGCAAGTTTTATGTAGTTACAAACTGCAAGTTTAATCTCATTTGTAAGAGATAACAAGGGGCCCTTTGGCCCATCAAGGCTTTCCTATTTTTGGCTAGCTACTTACTCCAACTCATAAAATTTTTTTGTATTGGATTATGAAACACTAACCTCTAAAATGCTTGTCCAATCTTTCAAAGTCCTTCAATGTTGTAGTTTCTAACACACCTGAAGGCTAACAATTCAACAGGCTGACTACCCTATGAGAAAAATAACTGTTTTTACTGGAGTCACATTAGTTTTATGCATTTTAAACTTGTGTACTCTTGTCATAATCATCTACAATTTTTTTTAAATATCACCTTGATTTATGAATTCCCACATCCAGAATAAATATAAAATTTTCAAAGAAAGTTATCAAACTCATAAGAAATGACTTTTTCTTTGTAAATCCATGTCAACTTTCTGTATAGATGTGAAGCTTGCCTAGATGCTTTTCTAGAATGTATCTAAATATAGATTAGTACTTTCTCAACTACTTAAGTACAGTAGCCTCACTGGCTAGTAACTGTCTATCTCCACCCTCTCCTTAAGACTTCATACTGGCTAATCTCCAGTCTTAAAGTACCTCACAACTTTTAACAGATTTATTAACAATGAAGATTAACAGCCTTTAAATCTGCTGTTTCTCTCATTATCCTACAATAAATATTATCTGGCTTTGGTGCTTTATATATACTCAGTCTTCTGACCCTATATCTTAGCAGCTATGGCTTAATCGTATCTTCATTCAAGGATAGTGTACAATCTTTTAAAAGGAGATTCACTTCAGGAATCTTTCTTACATTCTTCCTAGTAACAACTGATAAGACAAAAAACATTTTGAAATTCAGCCATCTTGTAATTGCCACGTGAAACCCTTTCATCTTCATTTGTTAAGAGCTCAACTCCTGTTCTAGGTTTCTAATATTTTGTTTCCCTTTAGCATTTAAAATTTTAAGTTTTTGCTGTTAACATTTCCTACCAACTGTTCCTCATAAGCCTTTTCCAATTTCCCAATGTTTTTCATTTTCAATCAGTTCTCAAGTACTTTTATAGGTTTTTAGAACTTCCATTCTAGCAGTCTGTTTGAATTTTCTAAATTTGTACTTTTTATTTCTTAATTGTTCATTTAATTACTTTTGCAAGTCCTTTGGTCATAAGTTTAGTATTTGCACTATTAGGTTACAATAGCTCAAGAGTGGGTGATAGGTTCTGTTAGCTAGGTGCCTTCCGTCTAGCCTACCAATTCAAAACTAGGGACTGCTAGTACATGTTGCTCATGTACAGCTTTGTGCAAATATCTGAAATATTTTTTTCCAAACTTGGTAATTAATGGAATTTACTAATTGATCAGTTGTTAGACTAATAAACCCCCCCCCCCCTCAATGGATTATTCTCACAAGTTGCCTTAAAAAATCAACATAAAATGTTAAAAATTTATGGGAGAGTGAAGGTGTTTGAGAGCTACTTAATGTGTTTAAGAAGCTAATTAAATATTATTATTTGTTGTAACCTGTGTTAATTAATAAAAAAGATAAATTGATTTATTAATAATAGTAGGATTGAAGTGTTAAATTAGAACTTAATTTTGTAAATATTACAAACGTTAGATCAGGCAGCTTAGCAAAGTTAATGCCACTAACTACAATTCAGCTTATTGGCAAGTTATAAAACAGGCTAAATCCATTGTATTATTACATAAAAATCATCTAAAGACTAGGTATTTGTCACCTCTTATTTTAAAAGTAAACATAATTACTTTTGTAAGAAGATAAGGTAGTGTTAAATAATGTAATATATTTAATTCTAACATTAGGCTTAATAGTGCTGTCTATGAGCTACTTGTATTCAGTGTTATAGGAGTGGATTTTACTTAGGAAATTGGGACAGGCATGCTTTTTTAAGGAAACTAGTAATGAAGATATGTAACTTATATCTAGAGCTTGTGGGTTGGAGGAGAAATTGGAGGCTATCCTAAATGAAATAGAAGTGACAGAAGGGTAAGTTGTGTGAAATGGCAGAAGGATTTAAGTAAATTAAGCTTTAAAGTCTTTGTAGTATCTCTGATAGAATTAAGTTGTTATGGTCCTTCTCTTTGAATGCCTTTTGCTTAACATTTAGCTCCTCTAACCTAACCTTCTCTACATCATTATCCCCTATGTGCACTACAAAGACTGCTAGCACCCCTTACTACATCACTTGCTCTATAAGTTATATTTCCACCCCCACCCCTGGATAGCATAATATAATTCTTTCCTCCATATTTACCAGACAGATTATCCTATCCACTCGTCATACTGAAGGATTGCCTATAACCTCATATTTTTCATTCTCAATCCTATGTTTGCTCATTGGATGAAAAAAACTGGCTAGGTGGAAGAAAACAGAAGGTTGTTATAAATGGAGTTCAGCCAAACTGGATTAATGTCATGACTGGGGTATCTCATAACTCATTGTTAGGACCTTTGCTCTTTCTGATTTATATCAGTGACACAGAAGAAGGAATGGTCAATAGATTATCTAAATTTGCTGATGACATTAAAGTTTTGGGTGTTGTTGGCTGTGAGGAGGATGCTACTGCCTTAAAAAAGGATTTGGATTATTTGGTGAGTTCAGCAAATAAATGTCAGATGGCTTTTAATTATAATAAATGCACAATGATGTACAAAGGATATCACAAGATGAGTTATGAGTATAATTTTGACAGGAATAACATTAACAGTGTTATGGAATAAAAAGATCTTGGTGTTCTGGTTAATCAGTTTCTTAAATCATTCAAGCAATTTGCTGTTGCTAGTGGCAGGGCAAATAAGATTTTAAGTTGTATCTATAAAAATATTGGTTTCAAGTCTAAAGAGATTATAATGTCATTGTATGGGTCATTAGTTAGGCTACACTTGGAGTATTGTGTTTAGTCTTGAGCTTTTTTATGTCAGAAAGGGCATTGAATTGTTGGAAAGGGTTCAGAGGAATAAACTTGAAACCTGAGTGAAATTTCAGATTGGTGCTTATGCACCCAAGGTTGAAATCAGATTTTGACAATCAGCATTTGATTGTTCTGCATGTCTGGACGTCCCTAATGTATATATATATTAGTGGTGTGCATCAAACTTTAAAACTCATCTTCAAATAAATCATACACTTATCAGACTGAAAAAAAAAGACAACTTTTCATTGGAATACAAAATAAGTATATATTAGATGAAGTTGAACAACACCTCTGCTTACATTTTCCTGTAAACCTTTAAATAGCTTCTCATTTCAGGATACATTGCACTCTCTCCATTGTGAAGGTGCCTGAATGTATTGTATATTTTCATAGGTAAACAAATTTACCTGGAATGGAACAATTAAAATACTTGAAATTGTTTCTTTTGAAAAAAGAAGTTAGAGAGGATCTGATTGAGGTGTTTAAGATTTTAAAGGGAACTGATAGTGTAGATACATTGTATTTTTTTTTACTCAATGGTGAGAATGACAGGACTAGGGGATAAATATAAATTTTGGCAAAGTAGGAGTCATCTTCAGTTGAGAGTTTTATTTTCTAACAGGATGTTGGGCTTTGGAATGGGTTGCCTTCAGATGTGGCAGATTCTGTAAATTCTAGAAAGTTTAAGGGAAGGCTTGATAAATGTTTAAATAATTTGACTTTGAGTGTTTTATTTTTAGGTTTAATTTAGTGGATGTGATGGCCTAGATGGACCAACAGGTTCCTCATTGTCCTTACATTATATATGTAAATAGGGTTTTTGATGCCAGTGGTGGGAAGAGTATAGCCTATTGTGTAGCTTTGGGCTTAACAAACAAACATAACATTATTTCAATTACTTGGAAAAATCAAATATAGCAATAGCTGGAAATTCAATGTTTGATTAATTGATTATTTTCATGAGTCTTCATGCTAACTGATTAAGCTGAACAATCTTGAACTAATCAAAAAGTAATAATGACAATATTTCAATTACCAGATAGTTGTAATAATTGGAAAAATTAATTTTGATTATTTTCATGACATTAATCAATTCAGTCATACCTTTTATAACTGAAACCAGTAATAACTTGTAACACTACTAAATTACTTGAATAATAGTATTCAATTGAATTGTAATTTTGCTTAATCAATTATCTCGTGGGACACCAATTGATATAACTGATGCTTATAGGTACTCAATTAAGCAAGTTAATTGCCTAGCTCTACTAAACACGATAGCTTTGCATGTATAGCAATTTTTCCCTTGAGGTTTTCCACTTCAGACATCTTCATTCAATAGCCTGTTCCAATTTACTTAATAGTTTCTTTTGTGAAGAAATTCTGATTTATTAATACATACAACTTTTAGCTGGTCATAACACATTTGAAAGCAGGTGGATAGACTGGTGTATTTGTTTTGGTAAATGATAATGATGGTCACTGTAACGGTGATCTGAGCAATGTTGGAATATTCCCAGAGTGAGCAACATGTTACAATAACTTTGAAAATGCACAACCATATTAGAATAACCCAAGAGCTGAGTTCACCTTGGCCAATTCACTTAACAATGGTTATTATTATGTGAAAAAAGGTATTGTATTCTTGGATATAACCATAAACTGTTTTTTAAATGCAAGGTTGTCAATTGTATATTTGCAACTTCTGTCACAACTGCAAAGATCTGCAATCCAATAAATATTTGCATAAATGCAAATCTTCTTAACAGACACAAGATTACAATATGGTTATGCATTTTCAGAATTCCCATAAAGAGCTGTGCATTTGGGGAATTTCAACAAAGTTCATATTTTGTTCTTTCCTTTATATTTTCACAATTGAAGATGTAGTTGTATTGTACTCATATTCTGGTCAAGAGCTGGTTTACTTAGCTTAATACCAATAAATTGATGAATAATGGTAAGAGATCTAGCATTTAAAAATCTAAAGTGAAATTATTCCCAAGAATGGAAAATGAATTGGAAAAACTACAAATTTCAACATATCCGTTCAAACAGTGGTCGGTAACACTACTGTTCAAGCACTGTAAAGTGTAATGCCCAGACCTAAAACATCAGCAGCGTTACCAACCACTACCTAAACTACTGAGTAATGTAATGTTGTGTCTATCAACATTTTTCATCCCCAGGAAGAATTCCGTTTTAGAGTGCTATAATTTCTTGCCATTAAGCTAAAAAAAAACAACAAACAAACTAGCTTGTCGTCAGAAGTTGAGCGCTCTAGTAATATAGTAGTAGTAGTACTAGTTCTCAGTGATTGAGTAATACTAATACTAGTATCAGTATTACTACATCTCCAACTTCCAACAATCCAAGTCCAATAAAGAACGACTTTCAATCATTTACTTACCTTAGTTTGAGAAATTAGGCGTTTTTTAAATTATCGTATATTGCAAATTTTGACAACTTCTTATCAATGTGTAATCATGTATACAATGTTATGGAAAATAAATACTCAATACAACTACAAACTCATCTTACTTTCTCGAAGTTAGGCCTAGCAGATATACGATTATCTTAGTTTTATCTTACAAAACGTAATAAAAGAAATTAGAAAATTTATATTTAATTTTCTTACCAACGCTATTAGTAGTTAGACAAACAAGCTCTTAGAAGCTAGTATTTTATATCTGAATAATTACTTTTAGTATTGTATTAAATATAAACAAAATCACTTCGCACTAAAAGTAAAACGTATTTCAGAACAAACAAGCATTGTCAAGCAACGACGTTTGAAAGTTTCCGCTTTTTTGAAGCGCCATTCTGCGTTTAATACGTCAAACTCTTCAGATGCGATATAATAGTTCAATTAAAAACTAGTCATTTTATTTAGTTCTGTATATTAATCATTTTGTTCTTATTCAATTCATGATGAATATTTGATTTGCAAAGTATACAGAAAAGTTGCGTCTTGTTAATATTTTAGTTGTATTTCTCTCACTATTATTTTATTTACAAGTTTTTACAAAAACATAATTACAACGTGCTGAATGGAAATAATGATTAACAAAGTTTGATGCAATAACATACTCAACGAAATGAAAAAGTAAAAAAAATATGATAACGGTATATCAATCATTTATCCTTTTAAAAAAGCGAATATTTTATGTAGGTATGCTGAAGTACGAACTTTATTCACATTATGAATAATATTATCATGACATTTAACAGTACACAAGATCAAGAAGAAGTTAGCATCGGAAAAGTAACCCAACAACCCTAGCGCTTCGGGAAAGTAGACTTTAATTCTAATCATGGAAAGTTCACTTTCCGAAACCACTCGGATTATTGAGTTTCTTCTCTGATAGAGCCTGGCATGGCCAGGTGGTTAGGACGTTTGACTCGCAATTTGAGATTCGCAGGTTCGAATCCCCTCCCCACCAAACAAGCTTACCCTTTCAGCCGTTGGAACGTTATAATGTACGGCCAATCCCACTTTTCGTTGGTAAAAGAGTAGTCCAAGAGTTTTCAATGGGTGGTGATGACTAGCTGACTTCCCTCTAGTCTTTCACTGCTAAATTAGTGACGACTAGCGCATATAGCCCTCGTGTAGCTTTGCGCAAAATTCAAAACAAACCAAACTTTTCTGATAAATAAAGTAATATGTTCAGACCATATCCGGATACAAAATATCAGTGCTTGGAATTTATAATTGTCAATATTACAACTTGGCGTGTTAATAATAAAAGGTAGAGATGTAAACATTTGCCTGGAGAATGTATAATAAATTTTAATTTATGACGTTTTAAAAAAATTCAACTAACAGATGAGGAGAGAAAACATTACAATGCGTCCGGCCATTGTAACGTCATGCACGAACTATATATGAGGGTGTTTCGAAAATAAAGTCCCCATGTGGGACAGTGGTAAGTCTTTGGATTTACAGCGCTAAAATCAGGGGTTCGTTTCTTCTCGGTGGACATAGCAGATAGTCCAATGTGGCTTTACAATAATACACACACACACACACACATACATAGAATAAAGGTAATATTTACATCTGTGTTTTTTACGTCGACAAAACAGTAACCGCCATGCCGCGAAGTAGCAACGATGTATGTATAATAGTTATGACAGTGTTCTCTTCTTCACGCATTGTGCACGCGTGGCGCTAGTGAACAAATGAGAAACATGGGCACACAGTTTTCAGTGAGCACCAGAGAAGAATAGGGGTATACAATTCGTTTTTTGTATGCCGAAGCTGTTGTATCGGCTATAATCCACCGTAAGATGTTTGCCCAATATGGAGAGAACTGTATGGCGCAAAGAGAGGGATACGAGTGGGTGGACAGGTTTAACAATGGCCAAACATAAGTAGTTGATGATGATCGACTAAGACTCCCCAGCGGTACTACCACTGATGAACACATTGCCAAGATTGATACAACTACCCTTGGTAACAGACGAGATTGTTAACGAAGTTGGTATAAGTGCAGACAGTATCCATGAGCACCCGATCTTCTGGCATGTGTGTCTTCGATGGGTCCCAAAGTAATTGACCTATCCCCATAAAAAGAAGCTTGCAGACACGTGCATCTAGCCTTTGCAACGTTACCAGGATGTAGGTGACGAGTTTCTTTCCCGTCATGCCACCGGCGATGAAACGTAGTTGCGTCATTTTGATTCAGAATGCAAATGACAGAGCATACAACAGAAACATCCAGAGTCACTACCGCCTGAAAAATTCAAACCACAGTTATCTTCTGTTGGTCTTGTTTTGGGTCTCTCAAAGACCTATCCTTGCCCACTTCATGGACCATGGAGTCACATTCATTTATCTATATATTGCATAATTGTCTTTACTTTTGAAACACTCTCATAATTATTGGAAGTGTATCTACAAGATAATGTGTGCTTGATGTCACAATACTGTTGGCCCGGTATGGCCAGGTGGTTAGGGCGCTCGACTCGCAATCTGCAGGTCGCGGGTTCGAATCCCCGTCACCAAACATGCTCGCCCTTTCAGCCGTGGGGGCGTTATAATATGACGGTCAATCGTTAGTAAAAGAGTAGCCCAAGAGTTGGCAGTGGGTGGTGATGACTAGCTGCTTTCCCTTTAGTTTTACACTGCTAAATTAGGGAAGGCTAGCGCAGATAGCCCTCATGTAGCTTTACCCGAAATTCATAACAAACACAATACTCTACTACATAAAACTTGACAGAGAACCTAAATCAAGTTCATGGGTGTATTCTTAAAGTGAAATTAATAACTTTGGTGTGTTCTCAAGTATTCTTAGTAAGACACTGCACGAAAACTGTTATATATCTTCGTAAAATTATTTGCACTGTTTCTAAACTATCGGGTAAGCGTAAAACGATTTTTAGATATTCATGCTTTGCTAATTATTCTGTTTCTAAGCATATCCTTTATACGAGAACGCTTTATAATACGACAGTTTTTTCTGTATCGGTATTTTGTATACATACAAGTATGGCATATTCCTGGCATGTCCAGTTATCGTAATCAGGTACCTCAGTCAATAGTTTTCTAAAGCACACCATCCTTAGAATATATACATATAAATGTATTTCTTGTTTTCTGAAGGAGTGCAAATTCATATGCGCACCCTCTCAATTTCCATTCTCAGAAAATGTTTTGGTGTGTCTTAGCTGATAATATTGACCAAAAATATTGATAGCTTTTTGTGTCTTTGTTCAAAAAATATTTATATTCTGCTCAAAAGGTCTTCAACTATTAAACCGTTTCATAGATGTCAGTCCAATTCATGGTTTTATATAATTTCCTAACAGAATAAAAGTATTAGAATTACTAGTGGGCAACAATTATTTATTTGTTTATGTTGTTTATGGCAAGACTACCCGCCTTCGTCCATAATTTTGAACTGCCGACCAGAGGGAAGGCAACAGGCCGGCAGCACCCACCCCTACATCTGAAAGGGTGAGAATGTTCGGTGCATGGTTTCAATCCCACGACTCGCAGATTGCGAGTCGAGCGCCCTAACTGCTACTCAAGGTAGCAATTGCAAAAACCGTAAACGTATATTGAAATATTATTTTAATCAAGTATTGAACTGAATAAATAGGCTAATAATTTTTCTATGATTATAAATATATGCTTTAAGTTTCATTGACAGTTGAAAGCATCAAATGATTATTGAGTCAAACAGAACACCTGCTGAAATAAATCTTTAGAGAAACTTTTATCAATACGTATAGTGTCATCTAGTGGGTACAAATGAAGACTGAATTGGCTAAATCACTATTACTAAAATGCACAATAACACTAGGCCTGTGATTGTTCTTGAAGTAGGGGAGACCGGGGCTAGTTGTTACGATTTTTAGAAAAAGTCCAATATCTAGCGAAATAACCCGAATAATACATTGAAACTGAATGAAAGTGAAAGATAAATATGTACTTTAGCAAAATTATGTATTCTATATTGAACAAAATTGGTTACATAAAAGATTTTGTAAATATTTTGAAGTAAAGTCAAGTGTAACAATATGCTCCGGATGCGGGGTAATTTG